GGGGGTGAGGGTGAGGATATGTTGAAATCATAGACATGATCAAGCAAACCATTCTAGACGATGTGAGTTGGTGTTGATAGTGAATGAGTTCCACATGGGCCTGGTCTGCACTGAAATGGAAGACTCAGCTCCTCCCCCTGTGCAGTCACCTCCCTACCCCTCTGGGGAGCTCGTCCTTCAGTAAGGAGCCTCAAAGTGAGGATGCCATGCTGTAGAACTCTAGGGGCATCCTTTGTGTTGGAGTCTGTTTTGATTTTACAAAATGAGTGAAAGCAGTGTATCTGTTTTTTTTTTTTTTTTTTTTGAGTTGGAGTCTCACTCTGTCACCCAGACTGGAGTGCAGTGGCCGCTCCCGGGCACCGCAGCCTCAACCTGCTGGGCTCCAGTGATCCTTCCACCACAGCCTTCCAAGTAGCTGGAACTACAGGCGCGCGCTACCACGCCTGGCTCATTTTTTTGATTTATTGTTGAGATGAGGTCTCACCAAGTTGCCCAGGCAGTTCTCGAACCCGCGGGCTCAGGCAATCCACTCACCTCAGCCTCCCAAAGGCACGGGATTACAGGCTGAGCCACCGAGCCCGGCTAGCAGTGTATCTTAATTTTGGCATTGACCATCTTCCTGACATGAATACATGGAATTTTTCAAGTCTTCATAAATTTGTCTGCTTTGTTCCCTGCTCATCTCCAGCACCCAGACAGTACTTGGCCTGCAGTAGACACTCAGACATTTGTTGAATAAATGAATGTGCTGGGATACTTACTTTTTATAGGACTGTCAGGCTTTGTGACAGGCAAATGGGGGAGTTTTGAGCAGACATTTTTATTTAGTAAGTATTTCTTGAGTACCTGTTGTATGGCAGATGAGCAACATGGTCCTTCAGGAAGATTGTGGTACTTTGGTTTCCTTTGGATTTCACAGTATTGGCCATTGGCTGGCTGTTTTGGTTATCGCTCTTTCAGTCACTCCTTTGCATGCTTGCCACATGCTGGGCACTGTCCTGAGCCTTGGTTGTTCCCATCAGAGCAGAATCAAACCCACTTGGTTGGCTGTCGTGGTGACTGTGATTTTAGTCGAGCACTTCCTAAAATATCAGGTATGTGCCAGGACTGCCGGCAGACAAGCACACCACTCTCATCTTAGCTGACTGTTGTATTTGAAAATTGTCTTCACCGAATCTGTTTTTTTCCACCTTCTGTGCAATTATTTTTGTTAACTTCTTTCAGCTGTAGGAAGGCTAGAGGTAGGCAGCTTTAGCTTTAAGTAGATTTTGGAGAGTATCAGTTGGATTACAGCCTTGTTGGAAAGGGTTGGGGGATCTACTGTCTGGTGACGTCAGGTCCAAAGAGCAGTCACCCAGTCTGGAGATGTCCATGTCCAGCAGGGACAGAGATGAAGATGTCCAGCAGGACCCCACAGGCTGGGTTTCAAGGCCTAGCCTGTGATACATCTCAGGGGCTTATAAAGAAAAGGAAGTTGAATAACAAATGATGACACTAGGTGACACTAAATAGGGAGGGGTTGTGAATTAGTTTCATATGCTCATTTGGGGATAGGTGGGTGGAGTACCTGTCATAGGTAAAAACTAACTGGAATGGTACTAGTAAAGGTAAACTTAGAAAGCACTTACATGTCCTTTTGTATTAAGATCCGATAATCACCTAAAGCTAGTTAATTTCATTTTGAGATATAAACCTTCCCCATTAATTGCCCTTTTCTTGGTATTAGTACCCAATTCTGAGAATACATTGATGAATATATAGATGTGGACGCAAATCTAGTTTATAAATAGTACCTCTACTTGCCTCTGGGGTCATCACAGCCTTAGATATAGAAGGAATTGTAAGCTGCCTGTACAGGTAGGATGGTGGTTCTCCCCTTATTAAAAATTGTGGAAGCTGGACCATGGAGGTTCTGATTCAGTCAGCCTGGGGGAGAGTGGGGCACTTTTATTTTTAAATGGCTCTCCTAATGAATAGGGGGTACAACTAGAGTTGAGAGCCCCTTCACAGTGTCATGGGTTTGGTAAATAGCCGTGTGACCTCAGGCTCCTGGCTCATCTCTGTGTGGGGTGCTTTTACTCCTAACATGGTAGGGCTTTGTGAGCTTGCCTTGTCCAGTTTTGTCCAGGGCAGAGAGGTAAATGGTCCTCTTGACTCTTCTTTGTGCCTGAAACTACTCTAAACTTGTATCAGTAGCTGATATACCTTCGTGGTGTTTCTTTGCAGAAAGAAAAGATAGTTCAGCTCCTGTGTCCTCAAACACTCTTAGCCAGGAAGAGAGCGACCAGATCTGCTTGTACCACATCCGGAAAAGTTGTAGCTTTCAAGGTAAGTTGGAAGAGACCTTTTCATCTCACTTGTAGGAGGGGTGACTGCTTGTTATTCCCAGAATTGTGCTCTGAGGTTACCCCCTTCTCCCTGCTCCATCCAGAGAGGATCAGGGACTGACACTTTGGTCAAACCAGTTCTGAAGCTATTTTTTGAGGTGTTGAGTATGGGAGCAGTTCTTTGAGTTTTCAGAAATCAAACTGTAGATTGTTTTTGGAACATAACTGTTTGGTTCATACATCAAATGAATGTCAAGTGTCGACCCTTGCTCAGTTGGTCATGAAGATCACAGACCTGCATAGGACAGGGAACTGCTCAGTCTAGTGGGAACAATGATAAGGGTGATCAACAGGTTTAGAGATGCCTTAGAAACCAGGAAAGACCTCACTGGGTAAGATACACTTGGAGGATGAGTTTAAGTCATTCAAGTTGGGGTTTTCTTCTGTATTGGTTCAGTTAACTCCATAGTCCCTCTTTTATCAGAAGTAACAATTCTTACTTTGTCTCTCTCTAAACCTTTGTTTTCTTCTTAAATGCTTTCCTGGGCTTTGACTGAAGAAAGATTCGTTTTCAATTTCGAGGACTCCCCTTAAAACATCACCACCAGAATTTGTTTAATTTTCAGTCTTTAAAAATTATCCAAGCCAATTTGTGAATTCACTTTGTAAAAGAGTCTAATAATACAGAGTAAAGCATGAAGTCCTCCTTCATCCGTTCTCAAAGGTAAACACTTGCTGTGTGGCTGTGATATTTGTTTGCATATTTTTAAACAGATGGGAACATGTGATAATGTTATCAGTCAACCTGCATATTTTACTTAACACTGTGTCTTAGAGATTTTTTTCCATGTCAGTATGTGTAAGTCCACTCATTTTAAAAACAATTGTGTAGTACTTGATTGTAGTGATGCTCCATTGAGCGTTCAAGTACATATATGTGAGTATTTCTATAGATAGACTCCTGGAAATGGAGTGCTAGGTCAAAGAGTATGAGCCACATGTACACTCATACATGCATATTTTAAAAATCAATATTGACCTATACACATGACAAGATTCTCCAATTTTATTTATTTTTTATTTTTTTGTTTTTTTTGTTTTGTTTTTGGTTTTTTTTTTTGAGTTGGAGTCTCACTCTGTCGCCCAGACTGGAGTGCAGTGGCTGCTCCCGGCCACCGCAGCCTCGACCTGCTGGGCTCCGGCGATCCTTCTGCCTCAGCCTTCCAAGTAGCCAGAATTATAGGCATGCGCTACCACGCCTGGCTGGTTTTTTGATTTATTGTAGAGATGAGGTCGCGCTGCCCAGGCGGGTCTCGAACCCACGGGCTCAGGCAATCCACTCATCTCAGCCTTCCAAAGGTGCGGGATTACAGGCTGAGCCACCGAGCCCAGCTTATTTTTTTATTTTTTGAGTTGGAGTCTTACTCTGTTGCCCAGGCTGGAGTGCAATGGTATGCTTACAGCCACTGCAGCCTCGACCTACTGGGCTTTGGCGTCCTTCCACCTCAGCCTTCCAAATAGTTGGAACTACAGGTGCACAACACCATGTCCAGCTAAATTTTTTAAATTTATTGTAGAGACGAGGACTCACCAAGTTGTATAGGCTGGTCTCGAACCCCTGGGCTCAGACAATCCTCTTGCCTCAGCCTCCCAAAGTGCTGGGATTGCAGACTTGCACCACCATGCCCAGCCGATGCTCCCATTTTAAACATATAGTTCTGAGTTTCGATAAGTGTACTCATGTAGCCATCGCTAACAATCAAGATATGAAAGAGTTCCCTTCCTCCAAAAAAATTCCCTTATGCCCCTTTACTCCTCACCACCCCAATTTGTCAACCCCAGGAAATCCCCAGGAAATCTCTGCTTTTTTGTTACTATAGATTAGATATGCCTTTTCTAGAATTTCATATGAATGGAATCATCCAGTATAGTCTCCTGTGCCTGGCTTCTCTCATCCACATGTTTTTGAGATTCAGTCATGCTGACGTGTCAAGAGTTTGTTCCCTTTTTATTGCTGAGTGATATTCCAGTGCATGGATTAACTGCAATTTGTTTATCCATTCATATATTGATGAACATTTGGATTATTGCCAGTTTTTGGCTTTTACACATAAAACTACTATGAATATTTTATGTATAGGTTTTTGTGTAGTCACGTGTTTCCAGTTATCTTGGGTGAAGACCTAGATGTGGAGTCACTGGGTCATATGACAGATGCTTGACTTTATAAGAAACTCTCAAACTGTCTTCCCAAATGGATATAATATTTTACATTTCCACCAGCAATGTATGTGAGTTCTAGTTGCGTATATCCTTGCTAATACTTGACATTGCCTTTTAAATTTTAACCAGTCTGATTAGTAGTGGTATCTCATTGTGGTTTTAATTTACATTTCCCTGATGATGAATGATGTTTAACATTTATTTACACGTGCTTATCAGGCATTTGTATGTTTTCTGTGAAGTATCTGTTCAAATCTTTTGCAGTTTTTGTATAACAGCTATACAAACACTCAAACACACGAGGGGTCTTCAAAAAGCTAATAGAAAATGCGTATTATGAAAAAATTATACATGGAATTCAAAATTTTTTGGCACCAGAGTCAACTGATACTAACTTGTTATAACAGGTCTGAGTGGAATCTAGTTTGAGGCACTAGGAAAGATAAGACTTAGGTTGAAAAGTGCCCCATCAGAGCAATATGAATTCTTCTGAAACTGAAGCAAGAACAAACATCAAATTTATTGTGAAGTATGGGTGAAAGAATGGTGAAATCATTGATACTTTATGAAAAACTTATAGGTACAATGCCCCAAAGAAGTTAGCAGTTTACAAATGGATAACTCAATTTAAGAAGGAATGAGGCTGGGTGCGGTGGCTCATGCCTTTAATCCCATTACTTTGGGAAGCTGAGGTGGGAGGATTGTTTGAGCCCAGGAGTTCAAGAGCAGCCCAGGAAATATAGTGAGAACCTTATGTTTATAAAAATTTAAAAAGCCGGGCTCGGTGGCTCAGCCTGTAATCCCGCGCCTTTGGGAGGCTGAGTTGCGTGGATTGCCTGAGCCTGCAGGTTTGAGACCTGCCTGGGCAACTTGGTAAGATCTCATCTCTACAATAAATCAAAAAAAAAAAAAATTAAAAAAAAAATTAGCCAGTCATGGTGGTGTCCCTGCACTCCAGTCTGGGCAACAGAGTGAGACCCCGACTCAAAAAAAAAAAAAGGAATGAGACGGAGACAGTATTAAAGATGAAGCCTGCAGTGGCAGACTGTCCACATATTCACATAAATTTTCAAGAAAAAATTAATCCTGTTTGTGCTGCAATTGAAGAGGACCGATGATTAACAGCACAAACAACAGCCAACACCACAGACCTTTCAATTGGTTCAGTTCATACAATTCTGACTGAAAAATTAAAGTTGAGCAAACTTCCCACTCGATGGGTACCAAAACCTTGGCACCCAGATCAACTTCAGACAAGAGCAGAACTTTCAGTGGAAATTTTAAAAAGTGAGGTCAAGATCCTGAAGCATTTCTTCAAAGAATTGAAACAGGTGAAACATGGCTTTACCAGTACAACCCTGGAAACAGAGCACAGTCAAAGCATAGCCACCAAGAGGTGGAAGTGGTCCACTCAAAGCAAAAGGACATGGCAACACTCAAGAGCAAAGGACATGGCAACAATTTTTTGGAATGCTCAAATCATTTTGCTTGTTGACTTTCTGGAGAGCCAAAAAACAATAACTTCTGCTTACTATGAGTTTTACGAAAGGTAGCCAAAGCATTAGCAGAAAAATGCTCTGGAAAGCTTCACCAGAGAGTCCCTCTCCACCACAACAGTGGTTCTGCTCATCCCTGTCATCAAACAAGGGCAAATTTGTGAGAGTTTTGACAGGAAATCATTAGGTATTCACCTACAGTCCTGATTTGGCTCCTCATGACTACTTTTTTCTCCTAATCTTAAAAAGTCTTGAAAGGGCACCCATATTTTTTCAGTTAATAAAGTAAAAAATATTGTGTTGACATGGTTAGATGATACTAAATGGATCGTATCATCGTATCATTGCTTTTACAAAAGTGTCTTGAACTTGATAGAGCTTTTTGTTTTTAATCTTTTTTTTTGAATACTCATTTGTTTCTAGGTAATGCTTCTTCCCCCCGCCCCCCATAGGATCTCATTCTGTCATCCAAGCTAGAGTGCAGGGGCATCATCATAGTTCACTGGCCTCAAACTCCTGGGCTCAAGCAATTCTTCTTGCCTCAGCCTCCAGAATAGTGAGGGCTATTAGTTACTGCACCCAGCTGATTTTCTTTATTTTGGCTCAGGCTGGACAAACTCCTGGGCTCAAGCAATCCTCCCAGCTAGGTCTCCCCAAATGTTGGGATTACAGACATGAGCCACTGTGCCCAGCCATTTTTTCTTTTAATTCCATTTTCTGTAAACTTTTTGAAGTCCCCTCATATATAATACTGACTACAGAATCGTGCAGCCATCATCACAGTCAAATATGAGAACATTTTCATCAACTCCAAAGTAACCTCATGCCCATGAGTATCACTCCCTATTTCTCTGTCCTTCCAATTCCAGACAACTGTAGATTTTTTTTTTTTTTTTTTTTTTGAGTTGGAGTCTCACTCTGTCACCCAGATTGGAGTGCAGTGCCCACTCCCGGCCACCGCAGCCTTGACCTGCTGGGCTCCGGTCATCCTTCCGCCTCAGCCTTCCAAGTAGCTGGAACTACAGGTGCGCGCTACCATGCCCAGCTAATTTTTGATTTATTGTAGAGATGAGGGCTCGCCAGGTTGCCCAGGCAAGTCTCGAACCCACGGGCTCAGGCAGTCCACTCACCTCGGCCTCCCAAAGTGCTGGGATTACAGGCTGAGCCACTGAGCCCGCCCAGCTGTAGATTTTAGGCTCACTCTCTGTGGATTTTCTTGGGTATTTCATCTAAATGGAATCATGATATTGGTCTTTTGTGACTATTTTGCCCATTTGTATTGGGTTATTTTATCTTTCATTATATATGTTTATATGTTAGTTATATTAAAAATGTATTCTTCCAGTCTGTCTTTTATGTTTATTTTCTTCATGCTGTCTTTTGAAGAATAGATGCTTTAATACTGATGTCCATTTTAATTTTTTTCCTTTTATTGTTTGTGTTTTTTTGTAGTCTAAAATAGTTCCCCATTTTGGCCAAGTGCAGTGGCTTGTGTCTGTAATCCTAGTACTTTGGGAGACAGGTGAGAGGATTGTTTGAGCCCAGGAAATCGAGACCAGCCTGAGCAACATAGTGAGACCTTGTCTCTACAAAACAATTTTAAAAATTAGCTGGGTGTGGTGGCATGTGCCTGTAGTTCTAGTTTCTTGGGAGGCTGAGGCAGAAGGATCACCTGAGAATAGGAGGCTGAGGCTAGGGTGAGCTGTGATCATGCCTCTGCATTCCAGCCTGGGTCACAGAGTGAGACTCTTACTCTACATACATACATAATACATGCATACATATTTGCCTGTTCCAAGCCCACAAAATGTTTTCTCCTTTGATTTTTTTCCCTAGATGTTTTATAGGTTAGGCTTTTAGATTTAGGTCTAACTGTTGACGCTTGTTCTCTTGAGTGTGATCATTTTCTCCTTAGGAATTGCTACTTCTATGCAAGTTTGCTGTCTCATTTTGTACTATTTTTCCCTCATGTGTCAGGTGATTCCTGGTTGTCTGCCATACTAGTGCTTGAGAAGCCCATTGGTTGATTCTGATTGGTTGAGATCTATTCTGATTCCAGCTCCTTGTCCCTGTGAAAATGGGGAATAGACAGTACATACCACTCAGGCATGTGGCCCGGGACTGGGGCGGGGGCTTTGGCAGCTGTCTCACATGCTTTTTTATCTCTCCAATGCTTGTATCCATACTTAAAAATTCAGCTGGGATGTGCACAGAAGATTGCTCGGCACAAGCGATCCTGTGCCCATGGGTCCTGTTGTCCTGTTCTCATTGTTATTGGCCTGGGTGCCTTTCTTGCTCCTTGTTTCACCTGATTCTGAATCTGTGAAGTCTGTGACAACCCAAATCTTTTTCCTGTGGTGTCTTCTGCATGTTTTGCCCGCATTGTTCTCTCTTCTTTTTATATCAGTTGAATTCTGCTTCCTGGTTTTAGGAATTTTGAACAATTCTGGTCTTTTGATGATACTTTGTCTTGTTTTCTAGTGCATTTGGATTTATTCTTCTCTCTGGCCTGTCATGTCAAAGAGTGTAGAGAGAAAGGGGAGGTGGATATGGTGTCTTCTCTGCCAAATTGTCTTGATTTCTTTGACTCAATTTCTAGAAAGCCTAGACTCTGGAATGCCACAGTGAGATGGGGAACAATAGAAGGAGAGAAAGGAAATTGACAAAGGGGACTGGAAGACCAAGGGAGATGAAGACAAGGGAAGGGGCCTCATGTTTCTACCACTGTGCTGGGACGAGGCTCTCTCAAGCCACTGTGGCTGCAGTGACCTGTTAGGTGCCTCCCTTTCTGGGAGCCCTCCAGCCATGAGCATCATGACCTCAACCCTCAGGTCTGATTAAGAGCTGAAGCCTCAGACCTGCCGTTTGACCACAGTGCCTTCCTCAGGCCCCTATGTCTTTCCCTAGGAAATCTCAATCTGGAGGGCCCAGGGAGTGCACCTTGCTCAGGGTGTGCCTTCTGGTGGAGAGTGTCTTTCTCCAGACTCCAGGATTCACCTATGCCCAGGGTTTGTAGATGACAGCATCTCAATGCTGGGTTGCCCCAAGGAGGCCTTCTGCTCTCATCCCTGATTCTGATTCTCTTGGTGCCCTCAGAGAACAGAAATCTGATTGGTCATTACCTTGGACCACAGCTGTGGCATTATTTATCCTGGCCTAGCCCTTCATTATCTGTTATACCCACACCTGGTCAAGGGTTCAAGCGGTTCCTAAGAGTGTCTACCTTGGAGGTAGCACCTTGTCAGAGTGCAAAGAACTTGCTTTTCTTTTTCTCTCCACTCTCTGTCCTCTTCCAATGCTCTTCAATGTGGACATAGCAGAACCTCGCACACACTCTTGGCAGGTATGGAGAGGGCTGGCCCTGACTAGGGAAGTGGGGACCTGCCCAGGAGGAACACAAGGAAGGGGGAGGGGAACAGCTGGCTGGAAGCCATAGGTCTGGGTCATTATGTGGATGTTGGGCTGAGGGGAAGGGGGCAGAGCAATATATATGAAGACCTGTGGGGAGATGGGGGTGTGTTGAGGAAGGAATGAGTATGGTGGCAGCCAGAAGAGTCCCAAGTGGACTGGAACCAAACTGCTGACCCATTTTCCATTGCATGTGTTGGGGTTGGGGTAGGTTTCTGGTAGAGATGAATCTTTGACCTCTTCTAGTCCACATGCCACATTTAGAGTGATATTAATCATCCCTTACAGGGATGGGACATTTGGCCTTCTTATGATCAGTTTCTTTACTGTCATGAAATAAAATTCGTAGATGATAAAACCACTGACATGCATATCTTTAAAAACCAATGTAAGTTCCTGTTAAAAAGTGAAACATAAATGGAAGAGGTATGTCATAGTCCTTTTTCTGTTTCTTATGGCAGAATATCTAAAACCGAATAATTTATAAAGAAAGGGAATTTATTTCTTATAGTTATGGAGGCCGAAAAGCCCAAAGTCAAAGGGCTAGATCTGAGGAGGGCCTTCTTGCTGGTGGGAACTCTCTGTAGAGTCCCAAGGTACCACAGGTCATCACATGGTAAAGGGACTGAGCATGCTAGCTTAGTTCTCTCTTCCTTAATTTGTTTGTTTTATTTTTATTTTTTTGATTTGGAGTCTCACTCCGTCGCCCAGACTGGAGTGCAGTGGCATGCTTCCGGCCACCGCAGCCACAACTTGCTGGACTCTGGTGATTCTTCCGCCTCAGCCTTCCAAGTAGCTGAAACTACAGGCGCACGCTACCATGCCCGGCTAAATTTTTTTTGACTTATTGTAGAGATGAGGTCTCACCAAGTTGCCTGGGTGGGTCTCGAACCCGCAGTCTCAGGCAATCCACACACCTCAGACTCCCAAAGCACTGGGATTACAGGCTGAGCCACCGAGCCCGGCCAATTTGTTTGTTTTAAATTGAAGGTCTCACTGATGCCCAGGCCTGGAGTGCAGTGACACAATTACAGCTTACCACAGACTAGACTTCCTGGGTTTAGGCAATCCTTTCGCCCCAGCCTCCTAAGTAGCTGGGTCTGCAGGCTGGTGAATTTTTGGAATTTTTTTTGTAGATACGAGGTCTCGAGGTCTCAAGGTCTTGCTACGTTGTCCAGGCTGTCTCAAATTCCTGTGCTCAAGCAACTCTCCTGCTTTGACCTCCCAGAGTGCTGGGATTACAGGCGTGAACCACCACACCCAGCCTCCTCTTTTTCTTATAAAACATCAGTTCCACTCCCGTGATAACTCATTAGCCCACTGATCCATTACCTTATGACCTAGTTATCTCTTAATGGTCTTTCCTCTCGATACTGCCACCTTGGGGATTGATTTTCAACATGAATTTCAGAAGGGAAAAACATTCAAACCATAGCAATGTATGTAAACAAACTAATATCTAAAATACACAGGTATGACTGGACTAAAAAGACAGATACTTCCTCACAAATTTCCAGAATGTCCCCACCCATTGTCAGCCACGAGGCTAGGCCATGCTGTGTATTGCCAAGCTGTTTTATTCCTTTATGTTTCTATTTTAGATAAGTGCAGTAGAGTTCATTTCCATTTGCCGTATAGATGGCAGTTCTTGAATGGAGGCAAATGGAAGGATTTGGACAATATGGAACTTATTGAAGAGGCATACTGTAATCCCAGAAAAGAGAGGTAGGAAATATGTTACTTGTCTCTGCTTTGTGCCTGGGCTTTTGTGTGCAGTGTAGGAAGTTGAGTTTGAACATCGGTGTTTAGTTTTGTGTATGTGTGTGTTTAGGAATCTCACTTTGTCATCCAGGCTGGAGTGCAGTGGCACGCTCACTGCCACCACATCCTTGACCTGCTAGGCTCAGGTGATCCTTCCACCTCAGTCTTCCAAGTAACTGGAGCTACAGGCACATGCTACCACACACAGCTAATTTTTTAATTTATTGTAGAGACAAGGTCTTGCCAAGTTGCACAGGCTGGTCTTGAACCCCTGGACTCAGGCAATCTTCTAGCTTCCATCTCCCAAAGTGCTGAAATTACAGGAGTGAGTTTAGTTTTGATGGCCATTACACCCCCACACACCCCCACATCTCTTCTTCATCTGTCTCCTCCCCCTCCCTCCCCTTCTTTCTCCTCCCTCCCCCTCTCGCTCCTTCTCTCTCTCTCTCTCTCTCTCTCTCTCTGAAGATAGTGCCAAGACCAAGTAAGTTCTTAATTATTTGCTGCTGGAATTGATCTTGTACATATGTACTCATTGTTGCAGAAAAGCAAGAGGTGATCATTTGTAAAATTTTAGTCCCTTGGTCTGTAAAATCATACAGTGAATTACTGTTTATTGTTTAACCTTTAACTTTATTTTTCTTTCTTTCTTTCTTTCTTTTTTTTTTTGAGTCAGAGTCTCACTCTGTTGCCCAGGCTGGAGTGCAGTGGCACACTCATGGCCACTGCAGCCTGGACCTGCTGGGCTCAGGTGATCCTTCCTTCTCAGTCTTCCAAGTAGCTGGAACCACAGGTGTGTGCCACCACGCCCAGCTAATTTTATGATTTATTGTGGAGACTAGGTCTTTCCATGTTGTGCAGACTTGTCTTGAACCCCTGAAAACCCCTGAACTCAGGCAGTTCTCTAGCTTCTCCCTCCCAAAGTGCTGGGATTATAGGCATCAGCCACTGCACCCAGCTAACTTTATTTTTCTAAGTGTGTCCTAGTATTCTCAGTCAATTCAGAGTAAATAGGGAATTCCCTTACTTATTTACCGTATTTTAGATCAAACTTGCTGAACTATATTGCCAAGAAGAGAATTTGAGCCTGCATTTTGAGCGCATAAAACAAATTTGCACTTAGAGTGCAATTATGTGCAAATTGCGATTGGCAAAGTATGTGAAACCAATTATTCCCATTAGGAGGATTACCATCCCAATCTTTCTTTCTTTTTAAGGCAAAACTTACACACAGTGAAGTGCCCAGATATTAAACATGCAGTTCAGTGAGTTTTGACAAATACATATGCTTGTGTAGCCAACATTCTGATTGAGATATAGATCATTTTTATTACCCCAGAAAGTCTCCTCGTGTCCCCTTTCAGTGATTTTCCACCCCTTAGGCCACCACTCTTCTGACTTCTGTCACCATAAATTAGTCTTGTCTGTTCTTGAACCTCATATAAATAGAACCATGTAGTATGTGCTGTTGTGTCTGGCATCTTTCACTCAAATTCTGCACCCCCAAAATGGCCAAACTACAAGGACAGACATTTCCCAGCAGAAGTAGTACAAATGGCCAATACACATGTGGATTTGAATTTATTTCTACTGTCCATCTTAGTTTTTGCTATATGACCCACTTTTTGTGTTTATTTCCTCTTTTTGATCTTTTCTTGGAATATTTTTTCTCATTTGGGTTTTGTAACCCTAATCTACAAGATTGGAAATTATATATCAAATTTCTTTTTTTTTTTTTTAGTTGTTATCCTAGGACTCTAAACAGACACTTTATCTTAACAAACTTTAGCTTACCAAATTAAGCTAATCAGCGCATTTTATAATTATCTCAAACTATAAAAGAACCTTGAATACTTGAATTCTGACTAGTTCCATTCAAACTTATTTACTAATTGTAAAAGTTGGACAGACTCTGCCTCAGTTTTACTATATGTTAAGCAAATAAAATAATAGTTTCTATATCATAGAGTTATTTTGAGAATTAAATGAGTTTATATATATATATAGAACACTCAGAATAGTGCTGGGCACATAAGATGTGCCATGTAAGTGTTGCTGCTATTGTTTTTTTTTTAACCCAGAAGTTAGAAATTAGCATTGTTTTATGCAATCAGTATTTGCTAAAACTTGCATATTTATCATTTTGGTTTTGCTCACACTTGCAGATCATTTTCCTTCTTTAAGTTCATCTATTTGAAGTTGCTTTAGAGTCTAGTGGTAAATGTGTTTTTTATTTGTCTGAAAGAGTTTTTATTTCCTCCTCACTCTTGAAAGATAGTCTTATTGGATATTTTCTCTCAACTCTTCAAAGATTATTTCACTGGTTTCTAGATTCTATTGCTTCTATTTAGAAATTAGTAGTCTGTTTGAATGTAGGTGTATTCGTTTCTTAGGGCTGCTGTAGCAACTTACCATGGACCTGGTAGCTTAAAACAGCAAAAACATATTGTCTCACAATTCTGGAATCCAGAAGTTCAAACTCAGGATGTCATCAGAGCCATGTTTTGTCTGAAGGCTTTAGAGGAGGATATTTCCTTGCCTCTTTCAAGATTCTGGTGGTTGTCGGGATTTCTTGGCTTGTAGATTCATCACTCCAATATCTGCCTTCATTGTCACATGGCATTCTCCCCCATGTGTTTGTGTCCACATTTCCCTCTTCTTAAAAGAACATCAGCCTTTGGATTAGGACCCACCAAAATCCAGTATGACCTCATCTTAATTTGATTACATCTGCAAAGACCCTGTTTCCAAATAAGGGCACATTTCCAGGTACCAAGGGTTAGACCTTCAACATATCTTTTTGGGGACACAGTTCAACCCAGTAAAGTAGGTGATTCTTTTTTTCCCTCTAGCTAATTTCTTACCTTGTTTTTCTTTGATGTTGTGCAGTTTCACTAAAATCCTGTGTGTGTGTATTCTAAAAAATATATTCTACTTATAATTCATGGTGCTTTCTGAGCTCCTCGACCATGATTTCCTTAAGTATCACTTCCTTGAAATTCTCATTAGCTGGGCTCGGTGGCTCAGCCTGTAATCCCGCGCCTTTGGGAGGCTGAGGTGAGTGGATTGCCTGAGTCCGCGGGTTTGAGACCCACTTGGGCAGCGAGACCTCATCTCTACAATAAATCACAAAATCAGCCGGGCGTGGTAGCGCATGCCTGTAATTCCGGCTACTTGGAAGGCTGAGGCAGAAGGATCGCCGGAGCCCAGCAGGCGAGGCTGCGGTGGCCGGAAGCGGCCACTGCACTCCAGTCTGGGCGACAGAGTGAGATTCTAACTCAAAAAAAAAAAAAGAAATTCTCATTAGATACATGTTGAGATCATCTCACTTTATCTTTTATGTCTCCTAATTTCTCTTTCATTCTCTGTTTCTCTTTTTCTGCTGGGAGGCTGAGGGGAAGAAATTCCCCTCAGCCTTCCAGTTTGCTAGTTGAGCCTTTTCTGAGATGCGATGTGTCCCATCTAACTATGATTTGTACATTTTCACTATTATATTATTTACTTTAAAAGTTTTATTTTTTAAATTTAAATTTATGAGGCCATTTTTTGTAGTCTCTTGATCCTTACTCTACTTTGATGCTCAATTCCATTTTTAAAAACACTTTATACTTTATATGTCATATGTCTCTGCATCTGAGAATGCTAATGTTTGTATCCTTTGGTGGTCTCATTTCATTTTTGCTGACCTTTGCTCATGGCATCTTTGTTTCCACATGCATTTTGTGATTTATTTGGTTTTGAGCTCATGTTTGAAGGAAACTTCTGTGAAAATTCCTTTGAGGCCCAAGTAGAAGGTGAATCCTTCCAGAAAGGGTTTGTGTTGCTTCTCTGGAGACTGTCCACCTTGGGTGTTCTTTAACGTTAATTCTCACAAAATATGAATCAACCTAAAACTTTGGGGAGGCTTGACTGGTTTATGAATTCTCAGGGGAATTTTTCCTCCTCTTTCCGGAGCCAACATTAATGCAGGCAGGTTTCCCTGCTGACTGCCTTTGTAAAGCAGTACCCTACCCAGTCTGCCTTACAAAAGTGTACAGTTTTTTGGGGTCCTGGTTTGTTGCAGAAGTATCTCTTTTGAGAGTCAACCTCCTACATCACCCAGACTATACTTTTGTTTCTGTTTCCCCTTTGCTGCTCAAAACCAGGCTCTTTATCATCCCTCATCGACACTACCCTAGGATGGCTGCTGGCTTTATCCTTCACATGCCCTCTCTAGTTTCATACCTTCCCCATTGTCTTCAGGTAATACCACATTTAGCAGGTGAGCACATCCTGGTGGTAGAGTATGCAGGCTGTGTTGCCAAGCTCCTAACCCAAGAGCCTAATTCCATAACTGACTGGCTGCTTGACCTTGGACAGGTTTCTTAGCCTGTTTCTGTTTCTTTTTTTTTGAGTTGGAATCTCACTCTGTCGCCCAGACTGGAGGGCAGTGGCTGTTCCTGGCCACCGCAGCCTCAACCTGCTGGGCTCAGGCGATCCTTCCGCCTCAGCCTTCCGAGTAGCCGGAATTACAGGCATGCGCTACCACGCCCGGCTAGTTTTTGATTTATTGTAGAGATGAGGTCTCGCTGCCCAGGCGGGTCTCGAACCCGCGGGCTCAGGCAATCCACTCACCTAGCCTCCCAAAGGCGTGGGATTACAGGCTGAGCCACCGAGCCCGGCTTTTCTGTTTCTTTCTGCTTCTGTTTTCCCATCTGTGAAGTGGAGCTAACAATGTCATCCTAATAGGGTTGTAAAAATATAGTTTCCTAATACATATGAAGTATTTAATACAGGGTCTCGCTCACCCAATTAATGCTCAGTCTGTATTCACTGTTGTTATTTTTGGCTTTTAAGTATTTCCCTTACTTTCTTGACAACTCAGCAGAACACTATAAAAAGAATATTTTAACCAGGATTTTCTGTGTTTTGTAGTGAGAGGAATTTTCATGCTAACTGATCTTCCATATTACCCTGATATTATTATTATTTTGAGTCAGGGTTTCATTCTGTCACTTAAGCTGGAGTGCTGTGACACGATCACATCTCACTGCAGCCTCAACATCCTGGGCTCAGGCTATTCTTCCACCTCAGCCTCCCGAGTAGCTGGGATGACAGGCTCACACCACTACACCTGGCCAATTGTTTGATTTTTTTGTAGAGATAAGGCTCCCTGATTTTATTATTTTTGCACAGCAAAATCGTGAGGGAAAAAGCAGTTTCCCTCACTTCTAGAAGCATGTTTTCAATTATGCGTGTCACATTTACTGTTTACATCTACCAGCCATGTGTTCTCATGGTAGAAGCTGGGGACCTGTGTTTTCTTGGCTGGTAGAATTTTCAGTCTACTTCTCGTTTTCTTTTGCAGGATCATGTGTATTGAGTCGGCTGGTGACTTGCACTTTGAGTCTCTAAACTTTAACTCTATGACATTCGGAGCTGCCCAGGCTCGCCGCCTCTCCACGGCTTCCTCTGTCACCAAGCCTCCACACTTCATTCTTACCACCAACTGGCTTTGGTACTGGGCCGATGAGTTTGGTTCTTGGCAGGAATATGGAAGACAAGTAAGTGTGATGGAAAGAGGGTGAGTGTTTTGTGCTGAGGAGCCATCATGGAGGAGCCGTTCCTAACAGTACCAGGAGTGTTACTGTCCTTGGTAGTGCCAAGTATCCCCAGATCCCTGGTGGCTCACTTGCTTTTGGGAGAATAATGGCAAGACTAGATAATTTGGAGTTAGTTTGTATGTGCTTCCATCTTTGAGTGATTAAGTATCTGTTGGTTCATGAAAATGGAATGCCAAAAAATGGTAGTGGGATTAAATTTTGTCATTTTTTTTAAAAGGGGTAGAAAGATGCTTCTCTTACCTTTCAAACAGGAAACTCTGGAGTTAGTCCTGTGTGTGAAGGTGTTTGTGTAGCTACAGTATGTGGTTAAAGGCTTTTCAGACTGACTTTCTGCCATATCTGCAACTTTGCAGAAGGTAGGCTAGTATAAGAAAATTGATTTATAACAGGTATTGATTTGGCATCCAGATCAAAACTGCTGCTGTCAGTTTATGGGTATTCATGGATGGGTCAGATTAAAGAGAGTCTCTAGACACTTGTAGAGGTGCAAGGCTAGGAAGAGCACTATTTATATAGGCGCCCCTTTCCAAAATGAAGATTGAGATTCGTGGTCTGACAGATATTTACACTCTTCTGGGTTGTAAGAAGCAATACTGTAACTTTAGTTTTTTGGTTTTTTACTGCACTTAGAATATCCTTTTTCTCCAGCTGCACTCTAATGTAAGCTCCATGAGGACAGACAGTTTTGTCTCTCTTTTGCTTCTAATGTATCTCCCCATGCCTAAAACGACAAAATAGACATTCCTTAGGAAACATTCATTGGCTGATGGAAGGAGAAGAATGTTGCTGACCATGTTTGCTGGTCACCTGGAGGTGGGCACTCTCAGTAGTGGCCTCACTGACTCCCACCCTCATCCTCCACCTCTGCTTCACCTCCTGGCTCCTCCCGTACCAGGCTTTCTTCTTCTGCTCCTTCACCCTGCCTCTCTTCCCCACTGTCTCCCTCCACTCTCAGACAGCCCAAGAGGAAATTTCTTTTACCTATTCCATGGGCCTCCCCTGATTGCCCGAGTGGAGTGACATACAGTCCTGGGGAAGACCATGCAAAAGAAAGGTTCCCAGGGTGGCTTCTCAGACAAAAGTCTTGTAACTCTGGGGGCGAGGCCTGTCTCCTCCTACCAGCTCGCACTTCAGTTTTCCCCTTTTTCTTCTGTGCTCTTCTTCCCTCATTGCAGTGTAGAGACTGGTGGAGAGTGGTTTGAGGATCTCCAGGGTGAGCTGTCTGTGAATGCTATCGATACGCCCACGTGCTGGATTTGGGAACTTGCAACAGGACAGCCTCCTAGATACCTTGTCCTTTCTCATTCTTCCCTTGCCAGACATTTCTGGTGCAACCCCATATTTGGATTTTTTTCTTAGTCTTCTGATAATTGCCTCTTCAAAACAGTTTTCCTTTGGTTCCCAGAAGAGCTATGTGCTTTTCCGTCTGAGCTCAAGATGTACGCTAAAATTTCAGGTCAAAATCAGACACCTAGCCAGGCTCGGTGGCTCAGCCTGTAATCCCAGTGCTTTGGGAGGTTGAGGTGAGTGGATTATCTGAGCCCACGGGTTCAAGACTTGCCTGGGAAACTTGGCGAGACCTCATCTCTACAATAAATAAAAAAAATTAGCCGGGCATGGTAGCGTATGCCTGTAGTTCCAGCTACTTGGAAGGCTGTAGTTCCAGCTACTTGGAAGGCTGAGCCCAGCAGGTCTAGTGCCACTGCACTCCAGTCTGGGTGACGGAGTGAGACTCCAACTAAAAAAAAGCCAGACACCTGCTGATCCTGTGGGATCTTCTGCATCTCAGTGGTGTCTCAAGGTGCTAACTCGGACCTTCCTCAGCTGCCACTTTTGGTTTCTCCTTTCAGACTTACTGCCGGGGGCAAAAAACCCTTGACTTTTTCTTTCCACTCAGCCATCTGCATCTTCTCTTCCCCCGTGACAACGATCTTATAGGGGTTTTGATGGAAGACTTGGGGTGGGGCAGGGTGCCAGTGTCTGACTACTGTTTCCTCCCCTTTTGTCTGGAAGGGATTTTTAATGCCGCATCTTCCTCCCACTCTCTAGTCTAATGGTTTAGTTTTAAAGGAGGACACAGTTTAGGAGGAGAAACTTAGACACCAATATGAGACCTTAAATTAGGAGGCTGCTTTAAAAACCAGCACACTGATGACACTCTCCCCTGATGATCCTCATGGGCCCAAATCACTGTTGTCCTTCAGGCTCGGATCTTGGCTAAGATGTCTTTCCCCAGGAAACCTTTGCTGGGTCCTCCCCTTCCCTGGTGGTTCTCAGTACTCTCTCAACTCCTTGCAGACCTGTGGTGGGACCTTGCACTTAGGGCTTAACAATGCCTACTTGCTTTTGGCTCCTCCTCCTCCATTGCTGGACTTAGTTGCTCAGAAGTCGAGGTGGATCTTGTTTCATTTGTTGTTCTGTCCTAGAAATTGCGACTTCAGAGGAGGACGAGGATGGTAGCAATAGGGGGAGTAGGAAAATTGGCAGGGACAGAGGGAGTTAGTTATTGGTTCAATAACTTTAATTTTAGTTGTCAGTACAGTGTGAGGTATGCTCAGAATAAGGATGATGATGATAGTAGCATTGAGTGTTTTTTTGTTCCAGGTACTGTGCTCAGTGCTCTGCATGCCTTATTTAAATTACTTTTCTCTGGCCCTGTGTGGATGGTATAGTTTTGTGGTATAATGAAATAAGTATGGCCTATATTATATGCTATTATGATTCCTATTAGAAACTCGAGATAACTGAGGCTCAGAGACATTGAAATAACTTGTGACGATTATAGAGACAACAGGCTTGGGAACCAGAATTCAAACTCAGTCCAACCCAAACTATTAAAAAACCTGTGGATAATTGAGAGGGGTTGAAACAGATCATTGAAAACCATAGAAGAACTCTCCAAGGGGCCAGACGGGAAAAAAAAAAACACACACAGGAGGAGGACTGAATTCTGGTTAAAGGGTGGTGGGAACGTGCATAGATGGAGCAGGAGCAGTGTTGCTCAGCTGGGCAGTCACTCAGCATTCAAGAACTCACTGTTGACGTGCCATGGTCACTTGAATGGCTGGTGTGTCATCCATCTTGGGTGACTTGAGTGCCTCTCCTCCATTGCTCCTATCCCTGTCGTCCTGCTTAGCAGAACCCACATTTCCTGTCTTTCATTTGCCAGGGTCGCGTTTAGGAGAGTCACGTCACCTTCCTTCTGTAATCCCTTCTCCTGCCACTCCCTGCTCCCTGGTCTCCCTTCTCCCCATGACAGGACTGTCCCTGTGGGCATGTCAGAAATGTAGCATGGATAGCAATACCACCAGCATCTTCCTCGTCACTGTAGGTCTTGCCTTCATGAAGCGTTGGCTTTTCCCTCGCAGGTCCTGGCACACCCTGTGACCACTGTCAGCAGCAGCGATGTGGAGAAGGCCTACCTGGCATACTGCGCACCAGGGTCTGATGCCCAGGCAGCCACCCTGAAGTTCCAGGCTGGAAAGCACCTCTATGAGTTAGACTTTAAAGGTATCCCCTGATCCCCCACGCTTGCCCAGCAAAACCTGGCCCTGCCCTTCCAGTTAACCCTGGATGAGCTGCATGCACACTGAGGCCTGAACTGGGTAGGGAAAGAAAGGCAAGGCATGTCCATCTAGAAGGGAAGGCAGACCTGTAAACTAATGGTGCTGGTATCATGGAGTCAGGAGAGGCTGTGTCTGGAGTGTGAGGACCCCAGGAGAGGGCAGGAACCCAAAGCACAGGGTCAGCTGGGTGTGCAGTATGGCTGTTCTGCCATGCCCGAGAGCCAACCTTGGTCCCTGACAAGCATCCAGGTGGCTGTGTTGTGCAGCATCTGCCTCATCACTCTCTGGTGTGGCAGGACTGTGGTCATCTTTTCTGCAGCTGCCTCAGGTCGTAGTAGAACATGCTGTAATTAAGTCTCTGGAAGCAGATTTTCATGGACTCAAAGTGTCCTGAAGGCAGGGCATCAATGGCACATCTCAGTTGCCTTAACAGACAAATAAGCCATACACCCTTTGGCACGTTCCTCCAAGTGGCTGATTTGTGAGAATTTTTTTAAGTTTGAGTTTTGCTGCAGATTCTCTTAAACCATTTCCATCAGGGCACATTGGTCCAGCTCTGCTCAGTTTTGCCTGTATTTCACATTTTAAACTCTGAGGCCTTCTGAACGTTCAGCATTTTATTTTTTTTTATTTTTATTTTTTGAGTGGGAGTCTCACTCTGTCATCCAGGCTGGAGTGCCATGGTACACTCACGGCCACTCTAGCATCGACCTGCTGGGCTCCCCCCGGCGATCCTTCCATCTCAGCCTTCCAAGTAGCCGAAACTACAGGCGCACGCTACCATGCCCAGCTAATTTTTAAAAAAATCTATTGTAAAGACAAGGTCTCACCACATTGCCTGGGTGGGACTTGAACAAGTGGGCTCAGACAATCCACTTGCCTCGGTCTCCCAAAGTGCTGGGATTACAGGTTGAGCCACCAAGCCCAGCCAGTATTCAGCATTTTATAAGGGAATGAGTGGGCCTTCCTCTAAACACAGCTTATGGTTTCCTTTATTTTTATGACCTTCATTCTCTGTGCAGTGCAGCAACGTGTCTCCAGTGCATCATTCTAAAACCACCTTGGCTGCCTACTTTGACCAGTTGGTTTTGCTGCGGTTTGGTGGCACTGTGGCTTTGCTTAAGGCAGAACACTGCCCCCTGAACATGCCCTTACAGAGGAGTTTCTTCTGTTATGGAGTGAGAACTGCCTGTGTGGGAGAATGCCAGCCACACATGGTCTGGTTTGCCTACACAGTCTGATGCACAGCATTGCTTGAGGGGGGATGATGAGAGCCCAGGCAGGCCTCAAATCTGGACTGTCCTGCAGGTCAGAGTTACACAGCCAGCATTCATCTGACTGCTGCTGACAACAGTCTGTGATATTTCTTTTAAATATCTGGAAAATATCAAAACGGATACACCAAAAATGTCAGATTTCAGCCTTTATTCTTCTCAACCTAGGCTGCACCCCTGGGAACATAAGAGAATCTCGGAACAAGGATAGGGAGGAGTACACACTTGCAGTTTGGAAAAGAGTATGGTTTCTGCAGACTGACTTAGCTCATGTGGGTGGGCATGATTCTTTGGCTAATTTGTTTTTGGTAGGTAAATAGTAGCCACAGAGGAAGTTCCAGATGAACTGACTTCTTCCCTCATGTCCTCTCTACTGTAGGAAGTCTCAAACCAAATTCTGCCATATGCATTTATTAACTATTAGTAAGCAAGTACACTTAAAACACACGCATCCCAAATGACTTGTTCAGAGGTTCAGGGAAGACTCAGTGCTGGCCTTTTAGGGATTCTTGTCACAAAAGAGTCACTCAAGGCAAATGCCAAGATTCCAGAAGCAGAATTCTGGTATTCTGTTAGCTGACATTAGATGGGGCAGAATCCCCCAAAATGACTCGTTTAGGGATGCAGCCTAGTGTATCCTCTGTAAGCGTAAACGGGTAGAAAGGCCTTCCTTTACCTCATCAATAGAAGACTAGGGAATGTGTCTAGCACATATTTAGATATTTCAGGTAGCTTGAGTAACTTTTAATTTTACCAGGGAAGGCTGTTTAAGATTCATCACAGGCTGGCCTCGGGGCTCAGCCTGTAATCTCAGCACTTTCGGAGGCCGAGGTGAGTGGATTGCCTGAGCCCACAGGATCGAGACCAGCCCAGGCAACTTGGCAAGACCTCGTCTCTACAATAAAATAAAAAATAGCCAGGTGTGGTAGCACACGTCTATAGTTCCGGCTACTTGGAAGGCTGAGACAGAAGGATCGCCAGAGCCCAGCAGGTCGACGCTGGGGTGGCTGTGAGTGTGTGTGCCACTGCACTCCAGCCTGGGCAAAAGAGTGAGGCTCCAACTCAAAAAAAAAAATTCATCACAGATGATCAGTAGGCCAGTAAAACCCATTTAAGTGTGCTAAGCAGAGTATTGGTGGACAGTTGAGTGGTTGCAGAAGGGGTCGTGGTTACTGTACCTGGATTGTGGGCTCCGGATGAGAATGTGGTAGGATCCCCCAGGAATGGTGACTATCTGGGTTGCAGTTTAAGAGTCACACGCCTTGGTTATCATATGCTCAAGTGCAGTAAGGTAAATTTCAGACATCTACAATTCTTAATATTACATTTTTAAAATTGTAAACAAAATTTGCTGGGTATGGTAGCGTGCCTTCAGTCGCAGCTCCTTGAGAGGATTACTTGAGCCCTGGAGGAGTTCAAGACCAACCTGGGCAACATAGTGACACCTCATCTCTTAAAAAAGAAAAGACTTGACAGGGTTTTTCTGGCAGATGGCGACATGACAGATACCTCTGTGTATTTGTCATTTTTCAACTCAAGGGTTCAGTGTCCTATCCTCTCTCCCAAATTCTCAGGATGAATATGTGATTCTTGAGGGTAGGGAAGCAAGAATTGTGTTTATTAAAGATGGTATGGATTTAGAAAGGTTGATAATTATTGCCATAGAGTCAGTTTGATCAAACTCCAAAAAAGTCATACAATTATTATTTTAACTCTAAATCTCACTAACACAAGTGATAATTTGGTCTCAGGCTGGGCTGAAGTTTTTTTAATATCCAAGTTGGGAAAAATTGCTAAGCAAAATAATAGTTTAAACAAGGTTGGAAGGAACAATTTAAAAGCACTCATGTATAATTGATATGTCAATTACTAATCATTCCCCTGTTCAGTCTCCTAAGGATACCTATTTTCTTTATGAATATTTGAAATGTGTAAAACTGCCTTATTTTAACAGACTGATTCTGAGCTTTACACATTTGGATTAGCTTTTAAACCCATTTAATTCTTGTTTATAAAACATTGCTGCAGTGTGTGTGTGTGTGTGTGTGTGTGTGTGTGTGTGTGTGTGTGTGTGTGTGTGTGTATGTATGTTTTTTTACTGACTGTGTTTTTTTTTTTAGCCTTCATTCAAAAAAACCTAGTCTATGGCACAACTAGAAAGGTTTGCCGCAGACCCAAGTACGTGTCTTCCCAGGATGTGAAGACCATGCAAACCAGGTAGGTTGCATTTGGGGCACTTAGCGTGTGTTATCAGCTGGGGTGGGTTCTGCTGCAGGTGACAGAAAACCTGCCTCAGACAGCACTCAGGGGCATCCACTGGCTTGGGTACTGAGTACTCTGTCTGGCACTCCACGGTCTTTCATCTTCTACTGATTGGACCAGAGTGAGAATTAACCTTGTGTGCTGAAACTTTGTGATACTTGCTTGTAAGGCTGCCTGTTGAAACCAGTTCATTCAGTATGTCTTTTCCATGGAATAATTGAGTTGTAGACTTGAATTATTTTTTTTTTTAGAGTTGAGGTCTCGTTATGTTGCCCAGACTGGTCTCAAACTCCTGAACTCAAGCAGTCCTCCCACCTTGGCCTCCCAAAGTGCTAGGATTGCAGGTGTGCACTACTGGCCCAGCCTAAACTTGAATTTTTTAAACCGTTGAAGTAACAATGAAATTTACACCAATAAAAAACCTTGCATTTCAGTACCTGAATATCATAGAATACCAAAATACCAAGCAGTAGTAGTTCAGCCACTAACAGGCCAGCTTCTGTCTCAGGGTAGGTTTCCTTCGGTCACAAGATGATGGCTGCCAGCAGCCACCAGGTTAGCCCTGGCCTTGTGAACACAGAAGAGGGAGGAGAGAGACTTTATACAGCAGATGGGGGGAAATTCTCATGCTTTGCCCTGATCAGACCCTGTCTGAACCAATAGTGTTATTTTAGGCTTGGACAAGTATGCTGGGATTGGAGCTGGGGGGTGGGGGCAGGTCAGTGTTCTCCAAACCACATTGACCACATAATGGGGGAAGGTGGCCTATGTGGTAGGGAGGAACTGCAGTGCATCTTACAGTTTGGGTTTGCCACAGCCAGTGCTAGGGCTTTAGCCAGTGGTGTTGTTAGCTGGCTACACCTCCTGTTAGCCTGAGAAGTCTGGCTCATTTCTGTTTCATGGAGAACTGCAGTGTCTCTGTGGGGTCTTTTAAGATCTCATAGATGGACTTTAGCGGTTGTGTTTGTAAGGCACAGAAAGTTCATCTAAAAACGAGTTTGAGCCGGGCTCAGTGGCTCAGCCTGTAATCTCACACCTTTGGGAGGCTGAGGTGAGTGGATTGCCTGAGCCCACGGGTTCGAGACCTGCCTGGGCA